ATTTGGATCACTTGTTGTTCCCTTGTCCCTGGGTTTGTTAACACCACTACCTTTCCCACCACCTCCCTCTCTCCCATGTCCCCCCAGAACTGTCCATCTCATTGTTTTCTCCTACAGATTGTTCATTCAGCCTATCTTTTTTAGACAGACCTGCGGAGATAATAACATGCACAAAAACAAGATAGAGCAAAACCAAGCAACAAAATAAAACAAAACAACAACAACAAGCCAATGACACAAAACAAAACAAAACAACAATAAAGAAAAGCTTTTAGTTAGTTCAAGGACTGTTTGTTGGCCTTCAGGAGTGTTTTCCAGTCAAGTCTTATCTAGATAGACCTTCAGGAATAATAATATGCCAGAGCAAAACAAAGACAAAACAAAAAAAGAAAAAGAAAAGCCTGTAAATAGTTCAAGGTCTGTTCTTGATCTTTAGGAGTGTTTTCCTGTTGAGTCTGATGGGGCGCCATGCCCTGGCCCCAAAGTCTATTTTTTGTACTCCCTCGGGACTTCCTTGCTCTGCTCCCCTTGCTGTTCTGTTGCACACCCTTTGTGTTTTGTCTCAGTGTGGTGGGGTCAGATCAGGCACAATTCGCACAATATGTCTCCAGAGTTATCCCCTGTAGGACTATGGATCAGTGAGGGATGTCGTGTCTTATAGTGGTGCTGGCCCTATAATCCTCTCTGTGCACTGGCTGCTCTGAGCAGGGATACTGTCCTCAAGGCTTGGTGAGCCAGAATGTGTTCCACTCTCTCTTCCTCCCCCTTCATTTTCTCCTGTGTGCTCTGATCAAACATGTCCCTCTCCCTGAGCTGTAGCTTCATTGCTGGCTTCTGCAGTAAATTCTTCCGGGGAGAGGGACATTCAGCACATTTTTAATGAAGTTTTTGTGGTAAAATTAGGTGCCTTGGCTGATATTCGAGTCAAGTTATACTCAAGTATATACAGTGCATAGTTTTAAAGAGAAATAATACAAAGGTATATCTGAGTTTATCTTCTTCCTTTTGCCTCAGCATAATTTCCCAAGTATACCTCATTACTACTATATACCTTTCATTTTTACCATTTTAAAGAATTAGGTTCTATTTTATTATAATGCACTGATTATTCTAATCTTGATCATTAAAATTATTTCTAAACATTGCTATTATGTAATGCATATATATATATATATATATTTCTTCTGGATTATATCCTAAGAATAGTTTCTCCAGAGAGGAATTACTGAATCAAAAACTAAATAAGTTCTGGGTCCAATTAAGATGGAATGACTACAGTCCACCTATTTCTCCTACTAGTTTCAACTATAAAAACTGAAGCAGCTATTTAAGGATTATGAAAAGTAAATAATAGGTAACTGAAGAAGAAGTTTAGAATTTGAATACCATGGAAATTTTTCTCCCCTCCAGCCTTCCTATTTGTCCTAAGTCTTAATTGACATACACAGGATACTCAATCTGACAAGAGGAGAACATACTTTCTTTCTAAGGTACCCTTTGACTATCCCCAAGATGGCCCATATAATGAGTCATAAAACACCCCAACAAGTTTAAAATATTGAAATCAAATTAAACATATCCCCTGCTCTTAATGAAATTAAACTGAAAATCAATAACAGGAAAATCTCAAAGTAGTTGAAAAGTAAACACACTTCTAAAAAGTCTATGGATCAGAGAATATGTCAAGAGAAAATGAAAAATATTTTTAACTGAACAAAAATAAATATACAATGTATAAATCTAAAGGATGCAGATAAAGCAGTTCTCAGAGAAAATTTTATAGTATTAGGTAAGAATACTGGAAAAGAAGGAAAGTCTCAGATCGATAATCTAAGCTTACACCTTAAAAAAGCTAGAAAAAGAAGAGCAATAAAAACCCAAAGGAAACTAAAAAAGTAGATATCAATGAGATTTAAAATAGAAAATAATAGAGAAAATCAGTAAGACTCAAAAACATCTGGAAAATTTACATAGCGAGAGAGCATACAGAATGAACAGTATCAAAAATAAACAGGATGTATCCTTACAGATCTTGAAAACATTAAAAAGGAGTATGAGAATACTATGAACAAATCTCTGAGTTTGACAACTACAATGAAATAGTCCAATTGCTTAAAAAAACACAAACAACCAAAAGAGTCTCGAAAATTAAAGAAATATTGTTATATGTAATTTCTTAGTTTAAGACCTTCTAAAAAATTAATTTCCAGTGGTCTTACTGGTGAAGTTTACAAAATATCTTAAGAGAAGGAAGAAGAGAAGTTTTTAAGCCTGGTAAAGGGCATCTACACTACAAGTGATATGCACAGTGGTTTTTAAAAAAAGAGAAAAATTTCCACCTAAGACTGGAAGCAAGCAAGGATATCCATTCTCAACACTTAAATTCAACACAGTATTGAGATTCTTAGACATAAGGAAGAAATTTAAAGAAATGCTCAAAGACATACAGATCAAAAAGGGGGAAATAAAACTATTCCTATTTGTAGTTGATGGAGTCATCTACATAGAAAAGGTCAAGGACTCTATAAAAGACTCAGAGTTTATGAGTTAGTGAAGTCACAGGAGACAGGTTGGCACACACAATTAATTCTATTTCTATATATAGTAGAAACTGGGAGAGCTGGAACTTAAAGGAAGTGTCTTCTTCGTCCAGATTTAGAAAGTTGCCCACCTTTCACAAGGTGCACTCACCACTTTTCTTCTGCTCTCTATTCATTAGAGAAGATTTTAGTTTTCCATCTCTGACAGGTTTCTACCTGCTTCAGATCTGACTTTCACAAGTTTTACTGTAGTAGCATTATTGCTCCAAAGAAAATTAAATACTAGATATAAATTAAATAAGACATTCTAAAAAAACATGCTAGATATAAATCAAATAAGGCATGCTAGTTTTAAAAAATCTCAAAAGAGATCTAAATAGAGTCATGCCATGTTTGATGATCAAACGTTCTAG